TATATAGTTGAATTTCCAGCTCCCCCCATCAATTATGTCCTAGGTTATCTTTTGATCCATTATATTTGATCATCTAAAAGGTGGCTGGAAGCTTCTTTTCTATACTATATTAACTCTATTGTATTATATATCCATGGCTTTCCCTCAAATGAAAACTTACATCTCTGATATTGGTTATGTGGAGAAAAATCCTTATCTGAGGGGATAGCAATCAGACTTCTACTTCTTTCCTTTTATGATTGGAATGGGATCAGAATTGCTGATAGGGAATGAAAACTTTGAAGGTCAAGGAACAAATGACAATAGTTTCTTTTTTTTGCGATTATTGGTTCGTACTCTCTATGTTAGGTCACTTGATCTTACTGAAATTAGTTTCTTTATTGGAGAATTGAGGGCTGTGGATATGGATTGTAGAGGGCACTACAATAAAATGAGTAGTAAGCCGTGGATTGTGCACAGACTCTTCTGTCTTAATGTTAAAAGACTTTTGAGTCCATGCACAGGTACTAAGTGTTTATTTATTAAGAACAGAGTCAACAGAATACTGATTATTTTTTTTAATTTTTTGTGGCATATGCATGCATTGAAAGAAAATCAAAAGATGAAAATCAAAACATTAGCCTTTTACATGAGCCCAGTTTATTCATAATAAAAAGAGGGGCATATGTAGTTGTGTATTGTAACTAAATGGAACTTGTATGCAGTGCTTGTATGATGTTGGAGTCTTGGAGATCATATGATATTTAGCTCAACAGTTTCTCTTATTTGCAATTATCCTCTTTTTAAGCTTATGCCCTTATTTTCACTTTCATCCATATGCAGGACGCAGGATTTTGTGTATACCTGAGACTACTGTGATGCACTCTGCCCAACAGTAACTGTAAGGCATTTTGCCCTCTAATACTTAGGCAGCGATATGGAAACACCAATTTTGAAACTGGATGACTATATAGGTGTCTGTAGTTTGTACAAAGCACAGATTGTAATTTTTGCCTTCCTTTGCTGTTAGTTATCTGCTGTATTCCCGAATATCTCAAAGTGAAAGTATGTGATCAAATGCCTGATGTAGTTGCTCCGAACTTCACATTTGCCTTTTCCTTTGTTACTATAATAGTAGCTCTTGCAGTTAATATGAGATATGATAGCTGATGCGATAATAGATCAAATAAAGAAAGTCAATCAATCACATTATCAGTCACGCCAATGAGTTCATAGTCAGAAACTAATCATATGTTGGCAAAAATGACCAAATTTTAAATTTGTGGTGACAGATGACTACTTTGATTGTCTGATCTATATGTTGCAGGATATATACTTTCATAAAGTTAGTGCATTGAAGTGTCAAGATTCCTGGTTGAACCTCCTGTCCACCCGTTTATATCATCTGGTTCAAGATAGTATCAGATTCAAATCTTTATGATCAGAGTTAATTATGAAGATTATGAATGAAAACTTGATATTTTCTTCATTATCATATAATAAATGTCTGGAAAAAAAATATATGAATGAGCTGTTTTTATTGTACACACAATTTGTCTTTTCAACATGTATTGCTTGATTACAAATCAAGCAGTTATTTTGATTCCTTATTGTTATTGTTTCTTCTTTTGTTGCAAAATTCCAATCACTCATTTATTTTCTTCCATTTATTAATTTTAAAGCTACAACTCTACAAGCCTCCTAAAGTTCATATAAGCATTATCTAAATAGTAATTATTTCCAGTAACCATAAATGGCTGTAATCCTGTCCTTCCTTATGTGTGGAGGTTACATGAAGAATAAGATAAAATGCAGGAAGAAAGACAGACTTGTCCAGTTACTGGTGAGGAATGTCTTGCATTGGATTGTTTCATCAACTGTGTACTGGTAAGTAAAGCAATATACACCACCACATATTTTATTGTGTTTCTGTATCGTCTTTTCCTCTCTGTGATGTATTTTATCAGACTCAGGTTTTCTAACAATCATTCATTTGTTTAAGTGTATTAAGATGCACAATCACCATTGATCTAGGTCATGATTCATCTATGGTTGTTTGCAACAGCTCTGTATCCAAGGTCAGAATAAGCTCTCCAGCCCACAAGTTTTTGGCATGAATTGAAGCTTTTATACTAATTTTGAGGTATCTTTGTCAATTATGGCTCTCTAGGTAAAAATACTGAGTCTATGAAACTTAAATATGATATGATTTGAATATGTGCAACATATAGTCACAGATCTTTGGTAAATATAAATTCATGATTCTTTACTCTGTTCTCCCATCTGTTGGGTGTAGCCGTGTAGTGATATAATAAGGGAATTGTTTGTAATTTTCGAATTTAGTACTTTCCATCAAAAATATCTTCTCTTCTATTAAGCTTTTACAGATGTAAATATATGTTGAATCTCCATATATTGTTGTAATGCTGTGTCAAGTGAGAAGAATTCATTGGACAGAATAACCCCGTTACTAACTAGAAATCTTTGCTTATCAGGCCTCCCATTGAAGTGAGGTAGACCAGGAAATTTTAATTTAGAATGAGTGATCAGGATCAGCGATTTCAGCACAGGTGGAATTTCAGAAGGACTGAAAATGATTTTGATTCAAGTGATGATGATCACTCGAGACCCAGTCCTCCTAGGGAGCCGAAACTTACGAAGCATAAGCTGGTCACTAGTCAATTTTCTGAGGAAAATGCCCCGCAAACCATGCATAACCCTACATCAATTCCTAGTGGAGAAAATGAAAATCACTTGAATTTTGAAGAACCTAACAGAAAGCCGAACCAGTCTGGCAAGACACGTGAGAGAAAGGCTAGATCAAAGAAAACTAAGAGAACTACCTTCAACCACGAGCCTTCAGATGCTACACTGATCAATTTAAGCGGGTACATGGAATCGTTGGTTGAAGAAATAAAAACCACTAGAGTGGACTTGCTTGCATGGATGAGCAACGAATTAACGTCATCCTCTAAAGATGATATCATTTCCTCTAAGCCTAGTGGGCCAAAGAAAGGCCAAAAACAAAACACGAAGAGAAGCAAAACTCCGAGAAATAACCCTAACAAGGGTAGGAGAAAACCAGGAACAAGTACTCAAAATAAAATTAATGAGGAAGTTGTGGTGCCACCAAAGGAGGGAGAAAGTGTTATCGTTGATGCTAAGTCTGTTGAAAAGACTGAAGCTAAATCTGTTGAAAAGACTGAAGCTAAAGCTGCTGAAAAGACTCAGAAACAAAAGGGAAGACTTCAAGGTCGTCTAACAAGAAGCGAAAAACTGATGGCACTGAAGCTGCCGAACAGACTGATAAAACTATTACAGCTGCTGCTGATATTTGTGTGGAGTTGCCTTCTGTTCTGCCTCAAAATCAAGTTACAAACAGTGAGAGAATTCCGTTAGAAGATGGGAATGGTAGAGATGCTGGGAACAGAAATGCGTTGAATCCGGGAGTCAATTTGAGCTCTCAATATCTGAATTATGATCCAAGAGCCCAGCAGAAAGATGGAATCTTCGCTCCAAGTGGTCTGAGGAACATGAGCGATTTTGGACAGAACTCATGCCCAACTATGGGTAACGGTAATGGAAATGGGTTTCCTTTTCCCCTTGCTCCTCAAGGGTCGAATTGTGGTATCGGGTTGCCAAATGTCCCTAACCAATTCGGGCAACAATATCTCAGTCAGAGCAATAGGATGTCAGGAATGTTTGGGGAGCCTTCTTTATTTTCTAATGGAAATCATGCTTATATGGAAAATTATGGTGTTCTGAATCAGCCTCTGAGATTTAATGTTCAGCAAAGCGGAGTCATGGCATTACAGTGTCCAGATATTAGAAGGGGAGCATTCAACCAGGGTAATGTAACTAATCAATAAATCTTCCATAATACAGTAAATTAAGGGAATAAGTCAGCAATAGAAGTGCATACCAGTGAACTGTACACCCTTTGGTTTAAAGGGAGATGTTTAATAAAGTGTTTTTTTTTATAGAAAAATTAAAAAAGGTAACACCACGTGACAATGTTATCATCCTTTTTGCGGAAACATTTAATCTTTATGTAACACTTGGTGCAATGAGGTAATCTTGAGTTGCACCAAGGCTTTGCCTTTATTTTGCATTGATAATTATTTTCTTTTGAAGTTCTTGGATCGATAATATAATTACACGCTCATAAGTCTTTAATTCAAGGAGATTTGTAGAGAATAATGATATTACACAAAACAATTTTAACTACTACCTCCGATTCTTATTATGTGCAACATAGGGGTATTATTTGTGAAACATAAAATATTTCTTTGATGCACATAATAGATAACGGAGGTAGTAGATTAGTTGGTTAAGATTTAGGTGGTAATCAAGACATGAGATCGAATTATAAATTTATGTTTATTATTGTTTCAAACTTATCCTTTGTATATATAGTTACGGAGTATATAGCAATATTAAGCTATGTCCCCTTCCTTTTCTGTTTGAGGATGAGGTCCTGCCAATTATCAATTTGATACAGAACCTTATAATTTAATGCTTGCAAGATAAATACGGGTAACATGATGCTCTGTAACTAGCATATCTTGTCTGTTGTCTCCCATAATGTTTTTAAAATATTGTATAGCTTTTTTACAGAAAAAAAAAAAACCTCTTAAACATCCCATACCATATAAACAAAAAAACAACTATTAAGAAATACTAATTTAATTCATTTACCTACTTAAAGCCTTAACAAAACACAGTATTTTGACTGTGAGCATGTTTTTAGCTCAAAATGTCATATCAGACTAAAACCTGTATTGTTGTAAATGTAAATTATCACTCCTCAATTAGGGCCTGTTCTCATACGTTTATTTTCAGTTCAGTTCAGCTCCTAATTTTCTTCTCTTATAAAATATTCATTTCACTTCAGTTCAGTTTTGCTGAGTTCAATCTATGAGAACAGACCCTTAGTCTTACAACTAACTATACAGATTATTTTATAAACTAAAATGTTTTGCAAAAAGAAAACTTAAGGTAAAGTGCATAATTTCCAATTTATGCTGTATTTTCCCCATTATCAGAACTCAGAGATTTCAATTCCCAATATAAAAAAAGGAAAGAGGATATCTTTGTTCTTGCTTCAGTTGCCAACTTGCCATTTCAAGTCCAACCCAGTAGGCCAGTACTCAGAAAGGTCACAACTGAATATTTCTTCTCTCTTCTTTCACCCTTCAAAAATTTAGAAATTCCTCAATTTCTGATGCAGAAGAAATCATAAAATTCTCAAGTGATGGATCTGCAAAGATTGAGCTTGTTTTTCTCTCTTTGTTTTCTTATAATAAGTGTTAGAGCTGGGGATATAATTCACCATGATGATAAAGCTCCACAAAAACCTGGGTGTGAGAATGATTTCATCCTGGTGAGTTTGAATTTTGCAATTTATTTTTCTACCCACTTTCTATTTTTGTTGATTTTTCATCTGGGTGTCTTTAATTTTTACTAGTTCCTATTTTTTGATTGTGTAATTATTTTTCATTTATAGGGAGTATTAATTATAGTTTATATTGTGTTAAGATTATTGTTTGGACTCCGTAAAACTTTGAAGTGAAGAAGTGGTAGAACAATTCTGTATTTGCTTTGTTATGATAGAAGATTTTTTTTTTAGGCTCTTTTCCCAAGGTTTATTGTTTTATACAGTATGTTTTATCATTTTAAACTTTGGAGGAATGCAATTATTTTTCCATTAGGGGAGCCGGGAAGTGATGTAGACGAGATTTGATCAAGGTCTTGGGTGTCAGGTGTCACGCCTAAGACTTTAACCAAGTTAGTTGACAACCCAATTTTGATTCTTGATCATTGTATAGATACCTTCTTGGGGCTATGACAAGAATGATCATATTACTAGGGAGTAAGTTATAACTTTTAAGCTAGTGGCTTGTTTTTTTCATTTGTGGTGTGCTCTCCTTGGTTAGGTGAAAGTGCAAACATGGATTGGGGAAAAGGAAGATGTAGAATTTGTTGGTGTTGGTGCGAGATTTGGTACTAGGATTGTCTCGAAGGAGAAGAAAGCAAACCACTCTCGCCTTACTCTTTCAGACCCTAAAGATTGTTGCAGTCAGCCAAGAAACAAGGTTGCCATCTATATTCTATTTATGTCAAACTTGGTGATTATGCTCTTATTTATTAGCTCATGTGGTGAGCTTTGTGTTAGCTTGCCGGAGATGTCATTATGGTACATCGAGGCCACTGCAGATTCACAACTAAAGCAAATGTTGCAGAAGCTGCTGGTGCTTCAGCAGTTCTCATTATAAATGATGCAAATGGTAATTACTTGAAGGCTTTTGTCTTTGTAACATTAGTTGTGTAAAATTTGAGTGATAAACGATTACAGGCTTTTAATATTAATATTATGATTTGCACTTTCCTTGGGTGTCATAAATCTTCAAAGCTGTTGAAGACCCTGTAATAATACACCAGTAAGCTCACTGAGGGGGAATCATAGGAGAAACTCCACGGTATTCATTTGCAGTTAGTAATTTGCTGATGCGGATTCAGATAAAGCATCATTTGATGCCTTGGAGTTGTTAAGAGTCATCTTAGTCTCATTCATGTTTAATTTGCTATTGCCAGTACCATTGTTTGTTTATTTTACTATTAAAGGTAGATATGCAAAGTATGGGTGTTTCTGGGTACTTGCATATATAATTCCAGATAACTAGCAACTTCATGAACAATGTGCCGTCTGTCTCACATTGTTTGCTAGTTTTGAAAGTTGTGACTTACAACATTGTTGGGACTTATGGAGTACTTTGTGATGGCACCCTCTCAAAGTATTAGGGAAAGAATTTTGGCTGAAGTGTTTCTGCTCCATAGTGTCACAGTGTCACCACATTGGTTTTTAGGAGATTCTTTAGCAACTAAGACCTAGCAGTAGATAGATTTCTACCTGTTGTATACTCGTATTAATCTGCATAACATACCAAAAATTGAGGAGCTTCAAGGCGCTTTGTCAATTGAAATTATTTTGTAGAATCGTAATGATAGGGTAGCAGTACATGTTTGAAAAGTGTAGATGAGGAATGGCTCATATAATTGGCAAAATGTACATTTTTGGTATCTAACAATCTACCATGGTCACTTTTTTCAGCTCAACTTAACAAACTTTCTGCTATATTCTTTTGAGATGTATGGATTTCTGAGATATTTGCTATTTTAAAAAAATGTTGGAACCTGAGTTTTGAATTACTGTTTATGGAAAAACTAAAATCTGAATAATTTGAAAAAAAGTATATGTCAATTGTTTCATAAAGACAGCAAAAAGTATAACATAAAATTGGGACAAAGGGAATAGTAGATTTGGAGGGGATGTTAGTCACATATGCTTAGTTGTTATGACAAGCACCTCAAGACTATGGTCTTAGCATGTCCTGTAAGAATATTTGTATTCATTTTGCGCTCCTGCTAGATCTGCACTGTTACTGTATATATCTTGGTATTATTCTACAAGTGGCATAATTTCTGGCAGTTAGGCATGAATTTGAAAATAAGCAGGAGGCATTGTATTTATTGCATAGCAAGAGATTTGGACTAGGAAAGGAAAGAAGATCTGTACATTGCAGAAATGAAATTGCTTATTTATTTTATGACAACTTAGGATCAGCCTAGAAGTCATTAGCTGTAATACGTGTCTCATTGTAAATGACTTTAGTTACTTCTGATTAATAAAATTAAGGAAGTAATAATGATGTATATAGTGCAGTACATGCCCCATAAGGACACTAGTTTTTAAAGACATGAAAGTGTGACACCATGCATCTTGAACAGGTTCAGAACACCACCATTTACGTTAGTCAAGCCACTTCCAGTTTATATTTTGTATTTCAAAAGAAGCTTAAGAAAATTATAATATTTTCGCTTGACTCCACAGACTTATTTTCACTGTAATATGTGCAAGACTAATAACTGTTGTTATTATTCACCTGGAAATTTCTATATACATACTTGCATATGTTCACGCTTACAGCCACATGCCCACATGTATGTACATGTACATGTATATGCACCTTGATAAGTATAAACAAAATATGAAATTTTATTGTTCCAATTATCAAGTTAGTTGATGAGCAATTTTATTTTCTTGTAGAGCTTTACAAGATGGTCTGTGAACCGGATGAGACTGATCTTGATATCCATATCCCTACGGTTATGCTCCCTCAAGATGCTGGTATAACGTTGGAAAAGATGCTGTCAAATAGTTCTTCAGGTTAACTTTCTCAATCCAAAATTGCTCTCCCTGCATCAAATTTATCTGAGCATTGCAGTGTTTACTTAAATTAAAGACACAGTCTGATCATTCTAAAGCTTGTTTTTTTTAAAGTTCTTTCCTTTGTTCAGTATCTGTGCAGCTATACTCTCCTCGAAGACCAGTAGTGGATATTGCCGAAGTGTTTTTATGGCTTATGGCAGTTGGCACCGTTCTATGTGCATCATATTGGTCAGCTTGGAGCGCCAGAGAAGCTGTTGCTGAGCATGAAAAGCTATTGGAAGTAAGTCTGTTTTATAGCCTGTTCTCCCGTTACATTATGTATTGTTGTTTTCTTGTGCATGTGTGTTTAGGTAGGCTTGCAAGTATTATAGATCTATTAGTCTTAAAGAATAAGGACCCTCCTTTAGATTTTGGTTGGTTGCTAACTGTTTGTTGTAAACTTATTCTCCACAGGATGCTTCAGATGAACTCTCAAATGTGAGCTATGGTGGTGTGGTGAACATCAGCACAAAATCGGCCCTACTGTTTGTTGTTGTAGCTTCAAGCTTTCTTGTTGTCCTTTACAAATTGATGTCGTCTTGGCTCATTGAGCTTTTGGTGTTGCTTTTTTGCATTGGCGGTGCCGAGGTTAGAAAAATTCTTTTCTTATCACTTTATCAGCATCTTCTGTTTTCCTCTGCATGAATGTTATATGAAATATGTTCTTCCTGTTATACCCAATAGAAACGAACTACCTTTTAAGCTTTTGGCTCTAGTGCTACTGTTTTAGCAGTAGATCTGTTAAAAGATACTTTCTGAAGTTTCTTTTCAAAAATCTTAGAAGCAGACCAGCCATCTCTGTGCTCAAACTTAGATTTTGTTTTGAGCAAGGTCCTCTTTGAATCGAGTAATAGAAGGAAATAAGAACATGCTGAAGTAGATTCAGCTGCTTCTCTTGCCAGTTACTTCCATTTGGGTTTGTTCATGAATTCACGAGAATGGGATAGTAAATAACTCTATATTTGTTCTAAAAAATAGAAATATCCCAATTTCTGGGGAAACAGTAATCTAATTACTTCTTCTGTTTCCTTGAATTTGCCGTTGTTCAATATTTATACTATTAACATACTAACTTTGACCATGTGTAAACTGTTACCGTATAAAATGTTGATGGATTAGTCTATATGTGAACGTGAGATGAAAGGAATATTAATCTTCTAGTGATTGTCTTATATTCATACTTTAACCTTAGTTCTTAATTTATTTTAGCCTTATTTTCTTCGTTTATGTATGAAAGGAATATTAATCTTCTAGTGATTGTCTTATATTCATACTTTAACCTTAGTTCTTAATTTATTTTAGCCTTATTTTCTTCGTTTATGTTTTGTAGGGGTTACAAACATGCTTGGTTGCTTTACTTTCAAGGTATTTATGCCCTATTTGTTTCTAGTCCTTCAAGAGATATAATAGCTGAATGTCACCACATAACTTTCTGAGAGTAGGAACTCTTTGACAGTTTATGTAAACAGTAACCATCTTTCCTTGCTGAATTTGCTTAAGACATGGGAGGGTTTTAGTGGCAATTATCATCAAATGTTTGACTAATTTCTGATATCCACGAGTTTTACAATGTTGAGAACTGTTAATAGCATCTGCTGTAGATATATCTCTGAAGCTTGTGGTAATCTTGCTAATATACACCTATCTGTTATACTTTGATGCTATTATAATTACCGATTTGTAGTGACTTGTTAAAAAAGAAATAATATCTTAGAGTCATACTCATATAATTTGGGTCTCGTCTTACCACTTAAACTGCACTAACACTTCTAAATTGCAGGTGGTTCAATTTGTTCGCACGCTCATATGTGAAAGTACCTCTTCTTGGAGCTATTTCATACCTTACTTTAGCTGTTTCACCATTCTGCATCACATTTGCAGTCCTTTGGGGAGTTTATCGAGATCTTCATTTTGCCTGGATTGGTCAAGATGTGCTTGTAAGGATAATATATTATCAGATATATATTCTATAGTATATAAATGTGCTAGACATTCTTCTGTCATTTGTAATTATAATACTAATAATCACATGCGTATCCTTTTATGACGACACAGGGAATTGCTTTGATAATTACTGTTATTCAAATTGTTCGGATTCCAAATCTCAAGGTAATGAATCCATCCCCTCCCCACTTCCCTTCTCCCGTACAAAACCTTTCAAATATCTTATAAAAGAAAGAAATGATTTGGAAATTTGCTTAGTTGTTTTGAAATGTATGCGAAAGATACTGCAAAATCATTAGATAAATATGTTCACCTTTATTTGGCTCTATAAGACTCCAGTGGTAATTACAAATGCCTGAATTTGTTTGTTTTCTTCCTCACTTTGCAGTCTAAGGAATAGTCGGATAGGCTATTTGTGCTTGGAATCATAAGCAGTTATTTATCAGTTTTGTTATAATCTGATATCACTTTGCTTGAATGCTAATTGCACATTACCTTTGGAAGTTGTCTGATTTTCACACTTGGGGTGCTTTGATTATTATGATCAATTGGTTTTTAGTGTTATTGATATTCTCTGGTGAGATTCATAATTGTATATATCTTACTTTTTGCTATGTGAATCAGGTGGGAACAATTCTTCTATCTTGTGCCTTCTTGTATGACATATTTTGGGTCTTTATCTCAAAGAAGTTATTCCATGAGAGTGTTATGATTGTGGTAAGTTAGCCATATCAACCACTTGCTTTGCTAAATGATTTATTGTAATGCTATGTTCGTTTGTAACAACGAATTCCTTTTCTTTTTTTTTTTAGGTAGCCCGTGGTGATAAAAGTGGGGAGGACGGTATTCCTATGTTGCTTAAGATTCCACGCATGTTTGACCCATGGGGTGGCTATAGCATCATTGGTTTTGGTGACATCCTTTTGCCAGGATTACTAATAGCGTTTTCTCTCAGGTAAGAATAATCTTATAATTAAGTTCTTGACTCATCCCGCCCCCTCCCCTAATTTCTTTTGCAATAGGTAAATAACTCGGTAAGAGAGAGGGGGGGGGGGGTCTGCTTAAAGCAATTAGTCCAGGCAAGGCATAAGAAAGAAAGAGCCAAGGCCTTCTCAGCCCCTCACAGCTTTAAGAAACACCCCCCCCCCCCCCTCCCAAAAAAAAAAACCATATGTCCTACAAATGAGAATAGATCCCCAAACTCAGTGTTCGAAGGGTGACTATAGTTATTACATATCCCCACAATTATTATGCCCTTGGAAGTGGCTTGATTTGTACATATTTTATTGTTTTGTCACGAGTGATTCATGTTACGAAGTTATTACCAGCTATTATATTGGCATAGACCTGAATTTGTGAAAATGGACAAAAGAATACATGATATTTTTATCCCCTGTGACCTTTGGGGGGAGGGGGAGGGGCTATAGTAGCTGTTGTAAAAATGATATATGTTCATGTATGTTTGACAGGTATGATTGGTTGGCAAAGAAGAGTCTTCGAGCTGGGTACTTCTTGTGGACTATGATCGCCTACGGATTAGGTAAACAAAGTTGTTCCTAATTTTTCTTTCATCTTCCTATTTTGTGGTAGTTGAAGTAGGGTGCATAAGTTCAGCTCCGCACTGCTTATGTGAAAAATTTGCATCTGGAAGCTCCCCGAGTTGCTGACTATCTTATTCAAATTGTTGAATGTTATTGGCAGGTCTTCTCATTACTTATGTCGCTCTTAATTTAATGGATGGACATGGCCAACCTGCTTTGTTATACATTGTCCCTTTTACTTTAGGTATGTTTTCTGATGCACCTTAGGGCTTTCTACTTCCTAAAACGTTACGCAATTCAGGTTGGCAATTAATGCTTCAAACAATTCCACATTCTTAATTTATACGCGGTCCAAAACTCCAATTTAGTCATCTGTGAGTTAACCTGATGTTATAATCTACATAAGCCTAGTGTGTGATGCTCTCACCAATATATATTTATGGCAGATCAAATTGATGTCGTATTATCCTTGTAATTGTAAAGAGGTTTTCATTACAGTACATAAACTCTGTACATATAATGATATAAACCATCTTCATCGGTGCATCTAGGAGTTCGTTTAATCAAAATTGATTTGTGTGAATGCCAGGAACATTATTGATGCTGGGTAAAAAAAGAGGCACTCTCAAGGTTTTATGGACGAGAGGGGAGCCCGAAAGACCTTGCTCTCATATGCATCTGCATATGTCTGAGGAATCGAATCAAGAAAAGTAGATCCTCAGTCTGAAATTAATGTATAATTACATAGAAGTTAGGTGTTGTACTTGTACTAATTCACCTTCAAGGCTTCAATTTTCTATTGCCTGGAAGCAGGAAAGAATGTAATATATGTCGAATTTGCCAAACTAGTTTATATTGTATATTTTCATACTGAGCTCTTGAGCTGGGTGCAAGACCCTCTTATTATATGAGTAATAGAAATGAATTGGTCCTATCAAATCGCGCACTTTTGTTCAATTTTGTACCTTTGTGGTTTTGAGGATTTGTTTAGAGCCAGGTTAATCTCTAAGATTAACAATACAATTTATTTCCTCTCACAACTTTATACATTAATTTTTGTGTCACTTTATTATTTCACTTTTATTATTTAAAAAACAAAAGAAAAGCAATATATTGGGAGATGAGATATAAGTTCAAATTTATTTCAGAGATCAACTTGAATTTTTTTTTTTGTTTTAGTGATTGAAAAAAAATGCCAATAAACATAGTATATGACCAACTCAAGTAATCCTTTGTCACTCAACTCAATTGATTTGTTTGCCACTTGAAAGGTGAAACTTGAAAAAAAAGATACTGGTACAAATTATCTATCAATAATCTTCTAACATTCAACAAATTACAAATTACATTTTCCTCATATTTTATCCCTAATTTCTATTATCCATCACTTTTTGTTCGTTAATTCAACAAAATGATCCTCATTTATTGGTTGAGTTTTCTTACTAAACATCATCTCAATTTCTTCCAAAGATTTTCCCTTTGTCTCAGGCAAAAAGAAGTAGAAAAACAACCAAGCCATTATTGCAAGCCCACCAAACAAGAAGAAAGTCCCACCAATTGTAATTGCCTTATACATTGATATGAAACTCATTGATACAGCAGCATTCATAGACCTATTCACAGCCACAGCAAGTCCTGCGCCGACAGCTCGAAACTTAAGGGGAAATATCTCAGATGTGTAAACCCAAGTGATGGGTGATATCCCAATTGAGAAAAAGGCCATATAAATGTATGTGGCACATATAGATAGTGCTAGAGCCCATGATGCATGGTTTTTCGAGTTTGCAACAATAGGTAGCCTACAGAATTTTTCCTGTATCGGCAACATTGCTGATGTGGTATTACCATGAGGGTAACCATTGGCGGACCTGCTCTTGTGCATGGTGAGTCAAACCAGGGCCCAAAAAAAATTTCTAAGTTTTTTTTAAAAAAAAAAAAAAAAAAAAAATTATTTTCTTTGGTTGATTTTGTTGTTGTTTGTTTGGTAAACTTTGAACCTTTTGTTAATGTTGTTGGGTTTTTGATGAAATTTGAACCTTTTTGACCATGTGAATTGTAATCAGTGTTTATTTAGGGTGTTTATTGATGTTAATTATGTCTGTCAAATTGTCAATACACCATTGACTTTGGTAGATTTATATGGGGTTTTGCATATGTGCTGATTTGATTGACGATTGCTTATGATATAGTCGACCCACCCTAATGATATAGTCAATTATGTCTGTCAAATTGTGAATACACCCTAATGCTTGTACAGATTTTAATCTTGTCAATTATTAGAGAGCTAAGCTTGTCATGTTGTCAAATTTTTTTTTTACATATTTGGTTATCGATTGTGACTCATCAGTCGGAAATTCCTGGGTCCGCCACTGAGGGTAACAACTGGTGAAAGTTAGCCCGACCCCAAGTGCTATAAGGGCGGCTATCACCCCAGCTGTGCTAGTCAATAGCAATGGTCGTCGACCAACTTTGTCTAATAAAAAAGTAGCTACTAAAATGAAAAGGGTCTTAACCACCCCTAGCCCTACATTTGCTAGCAAGAGCTTGTTCTTGCTAGTGATCCCAACCGCCTTGAAGATCCTAGGGCTATATAGTATGACAGCTTCTACACCGGTTGCGTGTTCGAAGAAATGAATACATATGGCAGCAAATAAGGTCCAACGAACCGCTAAGGTGGGCTTAAAGAGGAGCTCCTTCCATAAGGAAAACTCGGTTTGAGACTTTTTATCTAGCAATTTTGTAGACTCTACGGTTGTTATTATATCTTCAAGCCTAATCTCGGCCTCGTATTTCGAGTTAGACACCAACATAAGGACTCTTTTAGCATCCTCTATGCGCCCTTTCACGACGAGCCAACGTGGAGACTCGGGCATTTTAAGTACCCCAAAGATCAAACCAAGAGACGGTATGGCTGCCACGCCGAGCATTAGCCTCCAACCTAACTTCAACGTTAGTTTTCCAAACAAGTAATTTGAGACATATCCTAATAAAATGCCGAGACTAATGCAAAACTCGGGTAATGATGATAGTTTTCCTCTATGTGTAGCTGAAGAAATCTCGGCTGTATAGATTGGCGCGATCATAAGGGCAAAGCCTACGCCGAATCTAGCGATGCACCTCCCGGTCATTAAGACCGCGTAGTTAGTGCCGTAACCCATCAAGATAGAGCCTAACAAGAAGAGGGTGGATGCTACGACGATTGTGTAGCGTCGACCGATGTAGTCGGAAGTCCTTCCGGCTATTAGAGAGCCAACCAATGCACACAAGTTAAGTATCCCTGCTAGTACTTCTATTTGTGTGTCATTGATCTTGAGGTCTTCTTTGATGAAAATCATTGCTCCACTCATAACTCCAGTATCTGAGGAAAAAAAAAAAATAATAATTCAAATGAGAATATGTTATAATTGGTTTAAATTAAATTTACTCAATGCAATTGAAGTGTTTTCTTTTATTCTCAATCAATACATACATCATTTTGACTTTTACACTTGTCACTGACACCAACTATGTGGTCCACCACTCCAAATTAGGGGAGGAGAGCCCATTATCATATATTCTTATATAAACCCCACATCAACCCCCCATATGACCGATATGGAATTCAAGTCTCATACCTTGCAATAGACAGTTCTATAACACATGTACATGCACAACTATTTTTAAAGGCAAATAAGTAAACATACATGTAAAATTAGATGTTCAATAAAGAATGAAATATGAGTATGCAAATAATTATAAGTGACCGATACGAGTACTTAAATGTGCTAAATAATTAACTAAACGGCTTAAATGCTATGTACGAGTGTTAGAGGAGTTACCATAGCCAAATATGACAGATATTATAGAGGCAATAATAGCAGCAGCACAAGCAAATTTGTTAAGATGCTTATGTTGTTCTCCTTCAGCAATAGCTTCTTCCATTGTAGATAATTTACTCTCACAACTTGTATGGTATGTTCTTTTTTAATTGATTAATCAGCTTCGATCATCATATATATGGTGTTATATATAACTATATATAAGGAAATAAAGTATGTGATAAGTTTAAGTTAAAAGAGTGTTAAATAGTCTGGCTTCTTCTTATTGTGGATATTTATACAATAACAACAACGTAATCCTCTTTGTCAAAAAAAAAAAAAAAAAAAAAAAAAAAAAACCTTAATCCTAATAGGCCTAGAAAGCAAGATATTCTAACTCCTTGAACTTTCCTAATTAATAAGATAATGTTTTTATATCAATAGATAACATATAATATAACTAAGTTATAGTATTATTTAATTTTTCTAAATAAGTAAAATATTATCATAAAATCTATATATGGAATTATTATATTTCTAATACTCCGTAGTATGTTTTAGCCTTTCAAGTCGTTTAAGGGTTAGGGTCGATAAATTCATTTAAATTGGTGTAGTCAATTATTTTTTACCTCTTGACTCTAAGTTTACAAGTTTTAATCCTATTAATTACGAGTCTCACATGTCAGATTGTCATTTAACCTTATTCTTTTCCCTCACCTCAAATCCATGACAAGTCAAGTCGAGTCTACTAAAATCATATTTTGTAAATCTTACCTATCAAAATAGAATATGTTTGAGGAGCCTACTAGCTTTGTAATTAAATGTCTTTAAAGCAATTTGATTAGGCGTATATCGGTAAACTTTGTTACATGTGGATTATGGAAATATCCTGGTAAATGCGATGAAATAAGGAAATTGGGAAATTATTTGGAACGTTGATTGATTACCAACATTAAGACGTTTAAACAAAGTTTGTCCTTTTGTTTTATTATGGGGTTATAACAAGCAAGAAAGTGTTTTGCAACTCTTATGTACCTGTAAAGTACAAAATTTGAACTACTTACCTTTTTGACTTATTGTGAAGTTTGATTGATATCTAACACAATTAAATTTTAAGCACTTTGCCATCAAAAATGTGAAAATTAAATTGCTAGAGGTTTTTCTAAATTTCAATAATTATTGTTGTTTTTAAATAATTGAAGAAATTTTCATTGTTGACAAAAAATAAATAAATAAAAAAAACACTTAATTATATGAATAATTTCAAATATAGTTTCTTTGTTTCGTTAAGACAAATACGATAATCTTGTCAAAAAAAAAAAAAAAGACAAATACGATAATGCATGATTTTAAATATAAATTTCTTGAATTATGTAAAAACAAAAATTATAAAAAATTGATGTTTGGAAAATAGACAATGAGACCAATAACTATACTCTATATGACTTGAGATTAACTTATATGTGAATAATTCTTAAATTCTAGCTAGAATATGTTAAGTAAAAAGAAATAGAGAAAGTACATTAAGAAAATATGTGGATATAAGAAAACAAGGAATGAGCAAATCGAAAAATTAGACATGATGGAGAAACCGAATTAGTAACACGGAAACTCCGTCCAGCGTTGATTTTTAGTATGACGTGGTTGATGAATATCTTCTTATTTGAGATATTTTAAATCAGATGTCAAATAGTTTAATTAGATGCCAAAGTATTAGGGTATTGTGACATCAAATTTCATTTACATTAATTGGGAAAATATTGTCAAGATTGTTGGTACATTTGGAAAAACCATACATGAGATTACAAGCAAGTGGGAAACCAAAATAACAATAGTCAATTACTTCTTCACTAAGACCACTATCAGCAGTGAGGAAAAAAAAACCTCTCAATCTCTCTCTACCCACTTTCTCACTCCTCCCATACAATTTCTCTCATCAAATGTTTTTTTCACTACATCAATGAGGAGAAAAAAAAACCTCTCATCACTTTTTCCTCCACTATTTACTATACCCCACCATAATACACATCATCTTTTTATTTTATCTTTATTTTGAAATAATGTTTATACTACATATTTATAGTATTTATGGGTTTTTTGAAAGTATATCAAAATATATCAAAATGCATGTCCATTTATAGAGAAAAAAAAAATCTATCCGTTGGTGAATTTTGTTTTTTTTTTTTTAATTACAACGGTTATATTTACCTTACAAAAATATAACCGTTGTAATAAAAGCAAAAAAATCTGATTGGTTGGAAGGACAAAGCCTGACGCGTGTCGCATCCCCATTGGCTGGGTCTGACGCGCGTCAGGCCAGCTGCCCCCTTATTTTTTTTCCCTTTTTGCCCCTCAAAACGGCGTCGTTTCGCCCTTCTTTAAGGCAAAACGACGTCGTTTTGCAAGCCAGAAAGGAAAAAAAAAAGGGAAAGCAGCGTGTACATGTGGGGCCCACCGGTTACTGTTCACGAGTATTTCCCCTCAACTCTTGTGCGTTTTCCATAGCTCTCAACGGTGAGGGTTTTTTCCCTCACTAACGTAATGCTCGGGTATTTTTTTTACACCTTAATTTTAGTCGTGAGGGCTTTTTTCCTCACTGCCGGGAGTGCTCTAATAATTGCATGATGTAATGCCAAGTCAAGATTACTTTGTAAAATCATTGGCATAAAGATTGCATAGCATGATACAGACACGGTGTAGGCACAACACGTTACTGTGTGGTATCGAGTAGTGAAAATATTACGCCTAATTAAGTCATCACTTGGTCTAGTGTCAAAACATCCACAAATTAATAATAATTACCCTAAAAAGACGAGGGATACACAGTTGTTTATATGGGGTATAATTGTCTTTTCAACTAGCAGTGGGGGGTATATGCGTCTTTTCATATACTAGTTGAGGGGTACATGTGTAATTTCCTCACCAAAGAGTAAAAACAAAAAACAAACCGTAATTGGACAGCTTACCAAAAGTACTGAATAAATGACCCTGCTTTTTCAATATATTTACAAAAATGCCATCAGATTAACAAAAATTCGTTTATCTGACAGATTAACTTGTATTTTCCCTAAAAAGATTAACTTGCAATAATTAGTTGAAAGTAGCTAGGGGTTGATTCTATGAAAAATGTGCTTGTGACTCACACTAATATTTCAAACACTTATTGATAGAGTAGTAGTCACACTACAAGAAAAATGACTTTTTGTGGCGATTATTTCGTAGCGATTGTACATTCGCTACAATATGCAAGTATATTTGTGAAATTATTAAGTAATTCGTATCATTTTACAATCGTCATGGTTTTCCCATAAAATCGATACGAAAAACATAATAATACATATCCACACTATTTTTACACATTTATATAATTTTGAGAAATCGTATCATTTACAATCGCCACTAAATCCGAAAAATCGATACGAAAAGCCTTTTCAACACTAGATATATAAATATTGTTTGACAAAGAATACAAAAAATATGTCATAGCTTATAGGTAAAACATTTAATATAAGAGTTTGAGGTTGCATGTTCTAATCTTGTGAAGATCATACGCATTTTTTTTTTTGAAGAAAATGAGTTAAACATTTATAGCGGTTGTAATCGCTACAGTAATCACCAAAATTGGATGTAGTTTTTCGTATCGATTATTGAGGTCAACCCCAGCGATATTGAAAACCACTACTAAAGGCTAATGCAACAGGGGATATTGTATCTAATGACCATTCCTTAGGAAAATTTTTTGTTGCAATTACAATCGATACTAAAGGTTAAAATAATCGCTACGAAAAGGTTATTTTCTTGTAGTGTCAACTAAGGGCTTGTTCACATTTATTGAACTAAACTGAATTGAATATTGTATTTTTCTACTAGTGAATAGAGTTGATCTAAACTGAACTGATTGTAGCCGAACTAAACTAAACTAAACTGTATAGAGCTCAAATGAATATTTTATGATAGAAGGAAATTAGGAGCTAGACTTAACTAAACTGAACAGAACTGATTAGAGATGAACTGAATTGAATTGAACTGAAATTAAGCTGAAGTGAATAGGCCCTAAGACAATAAAGTAAATTATTTGTGACTAAAATTAATAAGAATAAGGGAATAAAATTCCACAGCTATCATAATTAAATATGCAGTTTAAACTTACAATTCTGTTTATATATTAATAATATCGTATTCATATTACCTATGGAATTACCTTTTATAAATTTGTTGGAACGATTTCCCTAGAAATTGTTTAAATAAAAATTAATTCCCAATTTGCATCGTTTAAAAAACTTATTCCCTTAATAGTGTCCACGTAGGAGCGGGTATAGTATTAGCTTTGTATTTTTTTTAAGGGTAAAACCGCAATCGATGACAGCGGTTATACAAACTAGTTCTTACACACGTATTTTACCGCATCTGACATCTCCCCCCTGTCCGAGTGTCTTCCACTCTTCTTATTTCTCTCTCCTCAAGTTTCACTGTTGTTTTGTTTTTTCATTTCAAACCTTTTCTTTCTTCTTAGATCTTCTCACTCTTCTTTCTCTCTCTAAAACACCAGTTTTTATTTGTAATTGTATTGTCTTCAAAAAAAAATTGTAATTTTGTATTGATTTTCTTAGTAATTTCGTACAATTAAAAATTTTGGGTGATTTTATTTTGATATAATCTCACTATTTTTTGGGTAATTTTGTTTTGATTTAATCATTTGAAACACAAGTTTATTAAGAGTATAAAGACGTTGAAACCAAAGCCGACTTATGATGAAATTGAAGATGAAGATGATGTTGAACTTGAGTAGAGTAGAAGATGACGGAATTCATGGATGAAGTTGAGAGCTTGGACGCCATTGAAATTGCTGCGATTTAATATCACTATTTTTTGGGCAATTTCATACAATTATGAATTCTTTTTTTTTTTTACTTCATGTTTTAATTTTAGGGAAATATCTCAACATCAACCTCAAGAACTTCAAACAATTTTGCAGAAAGAACATAAAACCGTTGCCAACAATTGCGGTTTTGCAAATGTAAAACCGCTATCACCAATTGCGGTTTTAAACCGAACCCAAAAAAAAAAATACAAAACTAATACCCGATCCTACGTGGACACTATTCAGGGAATAAGTTTTTTAAACGACCCAAAGTAGGAATTAATTTTGATTTAAACAATTTCTAGGGAAATCATTCAATTTGTTGAGTGGTTGGTGGTAATAAATAAGATGGAGAAAAATGAAAATAATATGTACGACATGAAACTTTTTATTTTTATTATTATTAATACACCGTCTTTTAAAAGCAATTAACGATTTTTTATTTTAAAAGCAATAATCAGATCTTAAATACTAAATAAGAAAAAGCTTCTCATTTCTTTCTAAAGGTTTTATTCTGAGCAAAAAAAAATTCACATGAATAGAATACAAACATCAATAACACAAATAACCACTTCACATGCATTGTGTTGTTATGAATTCTTTAAAAATTCAAAAATTGAGAATCCTTAAATAGCTCAATTGTTGTTACATTAACTATTCAAATATATTTATACATAGTTTTAAACTCATTAATTTTTCCCTCAATGTTGCATTATATTAGTAATATTAATAGATTATTAAAAAAAAATAAGTGTATAAAACATATTTCATATGAGTCTAAATCTAGAGTACAAACTCTATTGATTTTTCTTGATTTATATTGATACATAAAACAAAAATCTATCATCAAAATGCCTAATTTAAAAATTT